GGGGTATTGGCACAGCAGGAATGCTGGAGGTGGTGTGGCAGGAAACAGACTGGCACATTTTTGGGGTCTGTTTGATGAGATACACAAACACACACCAGCTGCAGGGGTTATGGACAGAAGAGCAGAGCATGGGAGAGATGGGAAATGTAGTCAGCTTTTCCCAGCTGCTAGTGGCGTGCATGCAGATGTATGTCTTCTTTTGTGTATGCACATGGCTGGCTTGCTGCAAAACCAGTGTTTTGTCATGAGTTAGCCATCCGTGTGTAGATTTTGGCATGCATTGCCTGTGCAGTTACACCTACTGTGTTTTGTATTCCCCAACAGGTGGCAGATGTAAATCTACGGTTTAACTGGGCCAAGTAACCAAAGGAAGATGAAAAACAACCTATGTTTTGGCACCATAGATGTTTTTTTTTTTCTAAAGTATATGATTTGATTACATGAATTTGTTGAGAGAAGCCTGTGGCATGCCTGGAATTTTCACTTGAGTGAACTATCAGGAATTATTTGAGCTCTTTTCTTAAAAGTACCCCAGAATATATTAATAAGGCTTAAATTTGTTCTGCTGCCTGCTGTAGACGGGCTGTCAGATGACGTTATACACCTCTAAACTGAAAGTGGGTTTGCTTCAGCGGTAGATTTAGTGCAGAGGAGGCAGGAAATGTCACTATCAGTCTTATACCGAACACTTTCACTGAAAGTGTCAATGTTAGCGCAACATAGACTTAATTATTTTTCATTTTTTATTTTAACTAGTTCAAGTCGCATTGATTAGATTAATTACAGCATAGGGGTTATTGTTGTATTCTGCTGGGGAATACAAAGAGAAATATGATTAGAATTATAGATAATTGTGTGCCATTTTCCCGCTACGGGTTTTCTGTCATATTTTCATGTGTAGTCTGGTATGACTGAGTATTGAATTTTAACCTACATAGCATAGTTGGAACATGCAAACTCCACGCAGAAAGTTCTTCTAGCTGCGAGGTGACTGTGCTAACCACCGAGTCACTTTGCACCCCCCCAGTTTAAAATGTAAGTAATAAAACATCAGTTTTGGTAACACTTAGCGAAAATGTTGTACATATTGATTCAAGTTTATTTTCTCAATTTTTGTAAAATAATTTATGAAAGAAATTCAACTGTAGGCTTTCCTTGTCTTGATATTTGACATTATAACAATGCCATACTGCACAAAAGGCACATTGTGCAACATAACGTAGTGTTTTTCTAGCCATGGTTGTGCTGTTTCCATAGAGGTGCAGGACTTTATATTGCAGTGAAAAATGATACCACACTGAGTAAAAATTTTATGGGAGCAAAGAAATGCTGAGAAACTGCTTGGGGTTCAGACAGTTAAAGCACAAAGGCCTCGGAAGTGTAAAGCAAACATCCACGTTACAATATTTGTTTATACATTGCAAGTCATATTGTCATATTGACCAGTGTTATGACATATCGCAGATTTACCTTATTTATTGCAGGCCTATTGTGAAGCCTGCAGAAATCCTGATTTTAAGTGTCATTGATGAAGTTCATTTTTATATCTGAACCATGGACAGAATAAGTGCTTCTACTCCTGTGCAGCAAACTTAAATTCCACTGAAAGAAAACACAAGAAAAAAAATAATCATCAGAGGATTTACTCCACAGCATTGCAGCTCTTTTTCGCTTTATATTTTACTACATCTCTCATCTTTATTAAGCAGCGCCTGTTCTTTATGTCTGGCTAGTTCTTCTTAGCAGTCGGCCTGTGTGTCTGTCTGCTGCAGTGCTGCATCATGTTTAAAAGTTTGTGTGGGTGTGTGTGAGCCCACTGCAGCAGACCACCTGAACCCCTTTATGTGTGTGGATGTAACCTGATCTCTGGAGGGAATGGACAAGACTATTGATTTCACATTTGGACCGGTGCCCTGGAGGGAAGCTGACACATCCTCAGTGTGTGCAAGCGAGAGAAACACACACACACACACACACACACAAACAAGAGAAGAATAGACTTGCTCATGTGTCTGCTGCTTTTGCATTGGAGTCAGCTGGTTTACTCAGCACAGATAGCCTCTGTTTTTTTCTTTTATCAAAGTGTTGAGACATTATGGAAATCCAGGAAAACGTCAGCTGAATTCTCTGCGGTTAAAGGAACAAACAGATGTGAAAACACCAATGGAGAGTCTGAGCCAAGCTCACGATGTGATAGCCAGGCTGTGAAGCATGTCAACATGGAGATGAGCATGTGTGTTGCCATGGCAATGACCATTCAAGTAGATGCAGGGCAGCCAAAGTTTGGCTCACTCTGATACTGGTGAGCTGTCGAGTCCTCACACCTACCACCCACCAGTGTGACCATGCATTTTCACACTCACTCTTTCTGCTGCTCTTCCTCTCTCCCTGCCTCCCCCCCACCTCCTCTGACTCCCTCTCCATCTGTCTGCCTCTGACATCCTCCTCATCTTTCTCCTCTCTCTGTCCCCCATCTCTTTCTCTGCCCCTCCCTCCTAATTGGCTGTGTAAGCCGGAGCGGCTCACTGTGTCATGCTGCGCTCGAGTGAACCCGAATGCGTTTGTGGATCCATATGTGTGTGCGACTTCTCCACTGCTTACAGGCTGTTCCTCATGCTTGACTAATGACACTGGAGCTCTTGT